ATACGTGAGTCGGCTTCCATCTAGAGTAATGAATCCGTTCTTGAATGTCAAAATTGTCTAAGATTAAAGGCGGCCGTATCTTGTAATCCATCGAAACTTTTTCTTGAAGGATTGATAGCGCAGCTTTAGTCAGGCGCCTGATTGTGCGTAGAGCAGAAGCACGCGAAGCAGTGAGGCCAATTGCTTGAAGATAATGATGCACTCGTTCGCTGGCCCCAGCCGCCAAAAAAGTGACAGAGTTTTCAAGCTGGAAACCATTGATTGCACGATTGCTTACATAAGCTATCATAAAACATACAGTGGTTGCAACCTGCAGATTTCAAATATGTTAGTTATCATGTTGTGCATTGTTGAAGTTAAATTGCACGTACAGTATCAAAACGAGATTTAAGTCTCTCTAACTTTGAGCTGCTCCTTCCATAACTTTTGTCTTCAAAGTCGCAGGCCATCACCTCCTCATCTAACTCTTGTTGATCTAAATGAGCTGCCACAACAACATCGTCCTCGGCTCCACCACGGTTGATACGCTCAGTTTCAAGTTCTTTTGTTGAGCTTGAATCTGACTCTGTTGACGCTTCTGAATCATGATCTTCATGCTGTTCTGGTTCAGGTAAAACAGTTCCGGAAGGGTCGAGAGGTTCTGGTGCCCCTGTGTTTGATTCATCTTGTATGATAATGTCGCCATCGTTCAAACTGTCACTATCAGAGTTATGAATATCTTGCAGGTCTTCGGTGTCCGCCACATTGGAGGCCTCTAGTTGTGTTGCGGGTCTTCCAGCGGACAAGCGATGGCGAATAAGTTTCCACAAGAAGCCCATTCCAATTTGAATCTTGGAGGCACGCTCCGCAGACTTGTCCATGTTGAAGAAAGAGGGCTTCAGAGACCGCACAGGCTCATTTGCTGGGTACCACCTTTGTCGCCAATGACGAGATGCCTCTGCATCTACTATCTTCTTTGCCTGCATACGGTGATATATGACGATAAGTGATGTGAAATAACTGTGACAGCTTGATCTGAATACGTACCTCTGCAAGTATATATGCTTTCCAAAGTAGCTTTCCTTCGCGCTTTTTGCAAGCAAGCCGTTTTATAGCATTCAATACAGTCAAAGTTGAGGGCCATCCACGTGGTATTCCCCAGTATGAGCGAGCTCTTTTCAAAATTCCCGCGTCGTCTTCGGCAGTCAAGAATGTCTTCATGATGTGTTTCATCGTCCATCCACAGGGTGAATCCCGCAGATTCTCAACCAGCGCCACTGTGTAGTCAATCATTGATTGAGATATCTTGTAGTTTTCATCAGGTACCAAAGTCATCTTGATGATAATTGTTGTGTCGATAGAAGCAATGAGTCAAAAAAAGGGAATTTAAGGAAGCTACAAGATGTGTTTGACAAATTGTATATGCGTAAAGGGAAAAGATCAAAATACAAACAAGGTTGGCTGGAAAATTTGATATGAAGCAAGAGGAGTATGCCTATGAATAATTTCCTACGCGTACAGAAGTACTGAAAGGAAAAAATCAAAATACAAACAAGGTTGGCTGGAAAATTTGATATGAAGCAAGAGGAGTATGCCTATGAATAATTTCCTATGCGTACGGAAGTACTGAAAGGAAAAAATCAAAATACAAACAAGGTTAACTGGCAAATTTGATATCAAGCAAGGGGAGTATGCCTTTGAATAATTTCCTACGCGTACGGAAGTACTGAAAGGAAAAAATCAAGATAACAAGGAGGTTGGCTGGGAAATTTAATATCAGGCAATGGGAGTATACCTTTGGATGATTCTCTGCGCGTACGGAACTACTCAAGGAAAAGATCCAAATAACAAGGAGGTTGGCAGGAGGATGTATTATCAAGTGTGGTGGGCTGAGATGGTAATGTACCAAAACACCTCAATACTGCAACCCAGCCCTGGCGACAATAAGAATTGTACCTCGTGGTCGCAAGGGCCTGGAATGGATGCCTTGTGGATCTATTTTCAAAAAACCAGCCCTTGCGACGATTAACTTATCGTCGCAAGGGCCTGGAATGGATTTCTTGTTTATTAATCATCAAATAAACCAGCCCTTGCGACAATCAGGAGTGCACCTTGATCGTCGCATAGGCCTGAAAAGGATGGTTTGTGGAACTATCATCAAACAAACCAGTCCTTGTGATGATGAGGGGTGTGCCTTAATAGTCGCAAGGGCCTCGAATCCCTCTATAGAATGATGTATATGGTATGATTTAATGTTATTCACTTCATAGATGGGCTTTATTCATTTCTTTTGAGCACATGATGCGAAAGCTCAAAGAACTCTAAGGCATTAGAAGCAACAAGGACTTTTGATCATGTACAATAGCCACTTTTCGTTGCAAAAAAATGACCTAAAGACACACATTTTATTGACTTTCACTATGATTTACCGGTGTACTCTAATGTTCCTTTATTAAATGGAAGTCAAAAGCTCTTGTCCAGCACACAAGAGGACAGAAACATGTCAGATGATCAGAAGAAAACATTGCTTTTGTTCATATGCAGAACTCGACTTTAGTCCAATGCAGTATGATCCAAACAGACGATGGCTTATTACTTTTCATCATAAGCCATCAAATCATGTTTCAACATTGATTGATTTCATTATTCATTTGGAAGCATTCAAAGTGGGATTATTTTGCTTCACGATACAAATAATGAGAAATCTCTTGCTTCACGATATGAATATTGATTGATCTAGATCCTAAGCTACTGCTTTTTGTCAAAAAGTTATTCACAATTTTCTTTGAGTGACCGTCCGCTGGAATTCCGATCTTGATGTCTGGGCATTATCGGACGTGGATCGGTTCTTGAGGCTATTGCAGCAATGAATCATTTGTATCTAAGAGGTGAATCAATGTTCTGGCGATGATTGACTGGGCGAGGTCAGTTACTTTATGTCCAGATATTTGTCAAAATGATTTGGTTGGACAATACCCTAGGCTTAAGGACCCAGAACTCGCAGCACGCTCACATGTGGCTTACATGCTACAGTGGTTCTGTAGGCTCAAACTTTACACACATTTTAAAGCTAAAGCACCGGTGAATGGCTAATGAAATCAAGCTGTACAATATGCGTACGACTCTGGCGCGTATTTCATCTCTTTGGTCAAGAGGTCTTTCATTTGGCAGGTAATGGTGCAGAGGGATTTGAAGTTTCCTCCCTGCAAAAGGCTCAACTCTCACCTTATGAAGTGTACGAGTTTGTAGTAAGTCCCTCGCTGACTCCGACCGGCTCGGGTCGGCGTGGGACTTATATAAGTTTAGCTTTTTCCAACATTTCTGAGATCGACTGTACTGTCGTTCTCGAAAAGCTTGTCCGAGTTTTCCCGCAAAACTCGAGCAATTTGGCGGAAAAACTTGGACAAGCTTTTCGAGGACAACAGTACAATGTGTGGAAAAGAACAACGAACAATCTTTTCCTTTGGCACCTCGGGGTACCTTATTCAACCACTTGAAGCAGTGAATACAGTGAGATTCCTTTATAAGCATGGTGATGGTTGCACCAAATCCCATGCTAATATAAAAAATGCTTCTTATTGGAACAGACCTAATAGCCTATAGGAGCATAAAAAATGCTCAAAATTATGCTATGCTTGAATGACATGCTTGGCACTTGCAACTATTGAAAAATATGTACTACAGAAACCTAGAAGCAAAAATTGACAGACAGTTTTTCAATTGATCTTGGCTTTTCTACTCAATGCAGCCTAATTTACTCCACTTCACCTACCTTTCTTCTCCTTTCTTGCATCACATAGAAGCATAAACACGTGAAAAAATCATGTTAAGCTTCTTTTTTCATGCTTCACATGAAATTATACAAGCATATCAGTCAAAACCTGAAGCATATGCTTAAAATGCTTATAAATCCAAATTTACTGCCCACCAAAAATGGTTACATCATTTTTGATGCTTATCAAAAAATATGCTTGTAAAGGCAATGCTTAAAAAGGAATCCCACTGTAGAATGTACCATACTGCTGCTTCCAGCATCAACCCCCTCATCTCGACCCATCTCGCGCATCTCCCCATCTCGGTACCCCAAATATACACTTACCGAGAAGTTTTTTGAAATTTCATACATACAACTTAGCCAGACAAGGCTTAAGAGCCCTATGGCACACCGGACTTTGTCCTCATCCACCTCCAACTCAATCGACTCACCACTACAACTCAACTCACCACAACTCAACTCAAACCCGCATAACCGAACGTTTTTATAGGTATCAAAGGACACATTTGA